AGGGTTGGGGGTAGAAGGAGGGAGACGATTACCCTCTAATATGGCAGTCTGAGGCCATACACTCCCCCATGCAGAGGCTCCAAGCAGTATATATTTCTCTTTACTGCACCCAACCCCTTCCACCCTCTTGCCATGTTAGCTTTTGTCTGAGTCCCCTCCCTGGCTCCCCCAGGCTCTGCCAGGAGGCAGCTTTCCCTCCTTTGTAAATCCCTCTATTCTTTCCTGTGGTTTTCTTCTGTCCCTTGCCACTGCCGAATGCTTTCTGTCCCTTTTCCCAGTCAGCCCTCCCTTTCATGCAGTGAAGTATACCCATTTCTCCTACCTATCATCTCGTATGTAATTTTTTTTTCTGCCCTACCTTTCCTGTCCTGCTCTTAATTTCACTCTGAAAACTTTGCAAGTAGTTGCCTTTTCATATAGACAACAGTTATGCAGAAAATACAATTGTTCCTTGTCGAGCGTCTATCTTCTGTATACTTGTGTAAAAATGTCTTGACTATGTCTTGACTCCTGTTTCTATTTACTTATTTCTCTTCAGATATCTATTGTCTTTTCTGGTGCATTGCACAGGCCTTTCTTTCCTAACTTTCTGGTTTTGCTTCTTAGACACATTTGCTTCCAGATGTCCCATGTCTTTTGTTTATTCTTTCCCCTTATGTTCTTTACTCTCTGTCCTCTTTTCTGCAGCAGACCTTCTACTCCAGAAGCCCTTCTTCTGGAAAGTAGAGTTGCAGGACTGGAGGAGGGCAGGATGCTTCCTTTTCCCATGCAGTCCTGTTATTCCCTCAAGCTCTTGTTTTTTTAAAAGCTTGCTTAATCACATTGTAGACATTGCTTTCAAGAGACTGTTTTGTTTTGTTCCCCCAGCCCTCCACAATGGTTTTCTCTGAGATCCATTCTCTAGAAAGTGGGGCATACTGGACATGCTGTCTGTATGGGGTAAAAGTTTTTAAGTGCACTTCCACCCAGAATAGTGAGTTGCATCATGGAGCTCACGGTGTTCAGAGAAGAGCCACCAGAATGTTTAAAAATATTACCAAACAATAAATGGCTTTAGGAGCTTAGTTCTGTGTATTTTAACAAATAGGAAATTACAGAGCAAAGAGATTATAGTTTGTAGATGCCTACCTGAGATATCTTCATAAAAAAAAGTCCTGTCCAGTAATGAAAATAAACATATTGCAAAATAGTGACGTGGAAGCTAGACACAGCAAATGTACACTAAAATATGGTATGTATATTTAACAGCATTCGTATAATTTTATGAAATGTTATGCAGGAAGCTGGTCTAGTTTTGTTGCAATGGTTGCTTCTGGCTGTGACTACAGATATATGTAGTCAAACAGCATTTTTTTTCCTCATGCCTAAATCTTTGTCTGTTTAAGCAGAAAATAAAGCCATTGCACCCATGCATACTTCTTTGAGTATTGTGTGCTGACAAATGCCACATCACTGATATCTTTGAATATCAGTGATACCCAAAGTTGATTAACACTGATTAATATAATAAAAAAGACTGAAGAAACACACTTTTCATTATTTCATTCTTTAAATATGAACTACTCCTGAGCACATGACTTGGGTCAAAACTTGCTCATCTCTACTGAGGCCTCACCTGGAGTACTGCATTCTGTTCTGGGGTCCCTGGTACAAGAAAGGCATGGACCTGTTGGAGCAGGTCCAGAGGAGGGCCATGAAAATGACAGAGCAAGCTGGAACACCTCTCCTATGAAGAAAGGCTGAGAGAATTGGAGTTATTCAGCCTGGAGAAGAAAACTCTGGGGAGACCTTATTGTGACCTTTCCTTATATAAAGAGGGCTTATAAGAAAGACGGAGAAAGACTCTTTACCAGGACCTGTAGTGATAGGACAAGGGGCAATGGTTTTAAACTGAAAGAGATTTAGATGGGACATATAAGGAAGAAATTTTTTACTATGAATGTGGTGAGGCACTGGAACAGGTTGCCCAGGGAAGTTGTGGATGCCCCATCCCTGGAAGTGTTCAAGGCCAGGTTGGATGGGGCTTTGAGACACCTGTTCTTGTGAAAGATGTCCCTGCAGGGGGATTGGACTAGATGATCTTTAAAAGTTGCTTTCAGCCCAAACTATTCTGTGATTCAATGATCTTGTTCAGACAGTTCTGCGCTTAAATCAGTGATATTACTTGAGAGATAAAATCAGAAATGAGTTGCCTACAGATATGGCATAAAGCTAAGTGTAGGGTATTGGTCATCCTATAGTCTAGCAACAAGAATTAAAAAGTCTTTCAAAATGGTAAATGAAGTAAATGAAAATATCTGTGGTTTACCTTACTTGCAGAAAGAGCCATCTTTATGTATTGATCCAGCTTTGATATTTCAGGTATGGGCTTGGTTCCACAGAAGCGTGTGCGTGTGTTTGCGGTGCAACATACTATTGAGATTGCATGAACTTTCACCTTCCTTTGTCTTCAAAAATAAACCTGAATATATTCTCTGTATTAAATTGACAAAGTTAAAAAAGTATATAGTAAGAGTAGTTGTGTATGGTCTGTTGATAGCATTTGTGCATATGTGCATTTAAATGCAAGTTTTATTAAATGTGAGGTTTCAAATATTTACTTCTGATTCCTTGTTGAATGCCCTATACAAGCAAGATTTTTCACAGACGTAGTTTAGATTTATCAGGTATTTGAAATGATGAAGAGTAGCATTTCATTACTTTTTGTTTCAGAGTAAGACAGATTGGAATGCTGTATTATTTATAAATGTTTTGCCCTACTATTTTTTCCTCTCCTCCTAAGAATTCAGGAAATGTGCTATAGCACTCATGTTGTAAGGACTGGATATATAAAGTTCATGAAATCTTTTTGTAGAAACTCATTTGTCGACTTAGTCTCCTTTCCATTGTGGAATATTATTTTCTTCAGCATCAGGACACATACTAATTTTTTCATGTTCCAGAAGAGGTGGATTTCTGCTAGGTCCAGCATAGAAATAGCCCTAACCTCTCTCTCAGAATATCTGCAACACTATTCTAATAAAGGAGATGAGGAAGAAGTATTGATTACTGCTGGAAGGAGGGGATAGATTAGGGTGAGTACCCTGATCTATATCACAAATCCTGCTATATAATCTTATGCCTTTTAACAGATTTAGAGGGCCTGACTGGAAATATCTGCACAAATGCTGCATTGTTGTAGAACTCAGAAGATGTTTATTAGTACCAGTTAATACTAAGCTGCTTCGTTAATAGTACTGCAAAGGAATCGTCTTTGTGATTCAACACAGACCAATGTAGTTTGTTAGAATGCTGCTAATGTGGACAAATCTTAGAGGTTTGAAGGAAATCCTGCATCTGTTGCTGTTTCAGTTTCTGAAAGATTGCCAGGCCCTGTGCCACAACAAGAGCTGGTTGAAAGTTTTCCAATTTAAGTTTTCTGTGGGAAAATGCTGATTCAGCTGAATCAGAAGATTTTAAGGGAATGTGCCTATTCTGTCAAAACTTCTAGTGAAAGCAAAGCTATATAGCTTTCTATCCATCCTGTAAGTCAAGCCAACTGCCTTGCTGCAGTACCTGTTGGGAGCTCCGGGCTGGCTGTGTTACCTTTGACCTACAAAGTTTCTCGCTTTCTAGTAGTTGTCCAGACATGAAAACTTTCAGGTTTCCTGGGCAAGCCAGCAGAATTTGCCAGTCCTGTACTGTTTGTACATAAAGGAATGGTACCTTTGACTCCTTGAACAGTCTGTGAATGAAGGTGATGTCTGTCTTGTCATTACTGATGCTTTTGATAAATTATTTTGAAACAGGTTTTAGTCTTTAAACTTTGTGAAATTTCTGGCTTCTGTTCCAATAAAAAGTTAATACAAAGCTGACAGTGACAATTTTTCTAGAGATAGCAAAACTAGGTTTTATACATCTGTAATCACAGTTATTCAGAGATTGATTAAAAATAAGTTTCTCCTTGGAGAGTTCAAACTTGTGATAAAGTAGAAGTACAGAAAATACTTCCAAAAGTTGTTAGATATTGTTCATAAAGCTTAAATGGTTTTTTTTCTGTGATGTATAAACCTTCTAAATAGTATAACAGGCTGTGCTATAAATTATTTCTGCCATGTTATATTTGCAAACATGTAAAATACAAAAGCAGTACAAAAAGCCAGACTCTTTAAGACTTAGCTGGAGAGATTTGATGAGGACTACTCTCAGATGAGATGTCATAACAGGTCATGTAAGTATTAATACATTTCAGTGCAAAATCATTCTAAAGTGCAGTGAAGCTTAGGTTTTGCTTTTATCTTCAGTAACTGGAGTAAAAACTTTCTAAAATGAAGTCTGATGGAGCAAGCTAATTTGATTGTAGTATCTGTGAGAGCTACAATAATTTATTGTTGTACATAAGCCTCGATAGCTTTTAAAATTATTTTTTTCTCCTTTCTGCATTTTTCTTTACGTGCAATTTCTCCAAATGATAGGATTTAATGAGAATTCTTCACCTTTCTTTTTTTCATTCCATCTCAACCTTTTATTTTACTTTCTTCTTTTCTGAAAAAAGTTTATGGAAAAATGTTTTGTGAATGGAGCAGTTAACATCTTAAAAATGTTTATTTTCTCTCATGTGAAGGGCTGGTGATTTAATAGAAAGATTATTTGGTTTTTATGATCATTCATACAGACTTTGCTCTGTGATACGAGTAATTCTGATTCCACAGACAAATGTTAGTAAAACTTTTAGGATTTTGCTATTGGAAATCTCTCATGTTAATAATGTTACATACTAAGTAATTTAAGTTGCATTTTACCTGTGACTTGAAAAGTTGTTATTCAAAAAACAACTCCATCATTATATTAGATATAGGCATATAACCTAAAACTTGGTTGGAAGTCTTCCAGAATGGGGGGTGGTAGTGATGGAGTGTGTGTGGTGGTTTTTTGGGGTGTTGTTTAGTTCTGTTTTTTTTAAGTTGCGTCCCTAGCTAGCTCCTTTGTGGTTTTTAATTGATTTTTGGTGGAATACTCTTTCTCTTTGTACATACCCTTCAAGAAAGGAAAATATGGGCTGCTGGTTAAGATTATGATCAACATTTTCAGTATCAGATATTTTCCAGAAAAGAAAAAGCTGGTGAGGTAAAAGTAAGAAACAGCAACTTTCACATTCCAAGATTTTTTTTTCCTTTGCATTTTGACACTTTTTTTGTCTTTTGGCTGGAGCCACTTTTCTTAAAGGTGATGCAGCTAATTTGGAAATTGTAAGATGCACAAAGTGATTTGGTATTCCCCTTCAAAGTGTGTTACTTTGCCTATATGGCATTAAAGTATGTTTGCTGTCATGGAAGATGGCTCTCCTCAACTTCTATTTTGAAGTCTCTTATCCTGGGATTTCTTACTGAAAAGTTTTACATCGTTTTACATCACTGAGCTCTTGACTGGATTCAAACACACTGATGTATTTGCATAGTTTTACAACCCAGAAACATATCTGCCACTGAAAGCTGGTATATCCCAGTCAGATGCAAGTGAATGAATCTGCACTCAGCAGCAGGCTAGATGTATTTTTCCTTATGACTGATATTTTTTTTTGAGACAAAATTTGTCTTCTGGACCTTAGAAGTATCTGGAAGGGAGCTGTCTGTGTATTTATCAAGGTTCTGATTAACACAAAAATTTCCTGGTCATTTTGTATGACTGTAAGCAAGTGCTTATCCTGCTGTTCATTTTAAAGATATTTTCTTTGTATGGTTGATCTGGTATGTATGTATTAATATCAGTATAGCCTTACTATTAATTTACTGTGGTTTTGATTGTGTGATTGAACAAAACTGTTTAATGAGGGGATGGTCTTTCACAGAAGAAATGTGCTTTTACTCTGATGCTAATTTTCAACTGTCTTGAATGAGATTATTTCTGTGTTCTACTGCTTGCTACAGTCATAGTATAGTGATTTTCTGATGTTTTCAGTGGAACGGGGTTTGACTGAAGATTTGTTTACACATTTAAAAAAAAAGGAATTAGATCTTATAAAGACTTGTAAATTTACCTTTTTACATTACTTTGGTTATGAACAATGCAGCTGGCTATTTGCAGAAGAGAAAAGCCAAGAAAGAAGCACTGCAGTCAGTCCTACTTCTGGGAAACACATCTGTCTGCTGCTACAGTTAATCATATTGTAAAGCCACTTTTGCTTAATTATTAAGGGTGCTAAAAAATCATAATACAGTTTGCTAGTGAAATGCTGAACACATTTCAGTGGCATCAGACATTCAGACTTAAGATCACTATACTACAATTACTATGGGAATAATGTCAGAGAAAGAATATTCTTTCTGCCCTATTGGAATTCATGAATATTTACCTGCACTATATTGTGTATCATGATTGCAAAGCCCAAATGAAGAGATACATTTGCAGCTTTATCCTGTCAGACCTCAAAAAATCTCCAGAGATGGGCAACACCACCTCCCTGGGCAACCATTTCCAATGCTTGTACTCAAAATATAACACTCGTAGATATTGCAAGGCTACATTATCTCCCTCTTCGAAGCTTTCTCTTCTCTAGGCTGAACAAACCCACTTTTCTCTGCCTCTTCTTAGAGGGCATGTACTCCATCCCCCGAGCCCTCTTGGTGGCTTTCTGCTGCACTCATTCAAGTTCATCAAGTCTGTCTTGTGCTGTGGGGCTTACAACTGGATGCAGTATTCTAGACTAAGTCTAATGAATTCTGAGTGGAAGGCAATAATCTCTTCCCTTGACCTGCATATTGGCTGTGTTCATGTTACCGCCCAGGATGCTGTTTGCCGCCTTTGCTGCCAGGTCACAGTGCTAGCTCCTGTTAAGCTTGCTGTCTACCAAGATTCTCAAGTCTTTTTCAGCAGAGCTGGTCCCCGGGGAGTTTGTTGAACTGATTGTCTGACCATCTGAATCACAATGTTTGCAATTTTTTGGTAAATGTCTGCAAACAGGGCCTAAAGCAGATTTCCTAATGAGTCATTTTGCAATGCTCTTTTAAACAGAAAATTATCCAAGAAGTTTGTGTAATCACTTTTTTAATCTTTCTGACTTTTACTGAAGAGATGTAGTCAATTTCCAAATGACTGGCAACAACAACAACAACAAAAAAATCACTGGATGTTTTCAGTGCTGTGCTGGCACACATGGCAGCTGTTGTCTGCGATGTAGAAATTTTTAGTGGTTGTGGTTTTGTGGTTTTGTTTATTTTGGGACTCGTAACAAAAAGTGCTAAATCTCCTCTTAGTGATGTGGCTGAATCAGTGGAGGAAAAGTATGTGAGGAGACAGCCTTTCTTCCTCCTGACAGCAGGCAGAACTCTATGGAAATAGAGAAAATCAGCCTCAGGCTGTGTCATGTAATGAAGTGGCCTGTTGTCCTGCAGTGATGATGGACTGGCCTCCCTAGGCTAAACTTGGTGGTTTAGAACTTGGAAGAATAGCCAGGCCTAGATGATCAGCAAAGCAAACAAGGTATGTTACCATGTACACCTGGGAAATAGGGCATCTCCCATTCTCCCTTCATCCCTAACTGTGTAGGAATGAAGACAGAATTTTGACCAGAATGTATTCTCTACAGACTACGTAACAGAATGGAGCATTGCGCATCTTTTCTTAGAGAGAGTTCTAAATTCTGCATTTCTTTAAGCCAAAATCAATAGAATTACTCTTGGTTTGTGACAGTATGTGCAATCTGTATTTGTGCCCTCTTTTTTTGCTGTGTCTTATTTGATGTTCATGCATGCACAGATGTACTTTCGTTACTCTTTAATATACAAGTTTCATATCACTTTTAATACTCTGGTTTTTTATAACTTAGGATACAAAAATAGCTTCACTTGAGCGAAATATAAGAGATCTTGAAGATGAAATACAGATGTTAAAGACAAATGGAGTTCTGAATACAGAGGACCGAGAAGAAGAAATCAAACAAATAGAAGTTTACAAGAGTCACTCAAAGTTCATGAAAAATAAGGTAAGGTCTATTAATAAAACAGCTTAATGCTGTTTACATAATGGAAACAAAAGTTTTAACTTGACCCTTTTCAACACAAGCGGCTTTCTGTATGTCTACTTTTGGTAAATCACTATTTTGCAATACTCAGCAGTTATGGAGGAGTGAAGCATTTTGGATAAATAAAAATGTGTTTATGTTTTGACTTAAGAAGAGGTAAGGAAGAGGCTATTTCACCACTTCTGCAGAGACTACTGTAATCCTGAGTCTATACCATGTTCCTTTTTCTCTTTTTTTGTGTATGGTATTTTAATGTTGGCTTTTTGAATTAGTTCATAATTTTGACTTGCACCATTTTGGCACAACTTTAGTTTTGCTTTTTTTTTTTTTTTTTTGTTTTGACTGTGGTTTTACAAGCAGGGACTGCTATTCCATAGATGATGCCAAATTGTAATCTTCTAGTATTTTAAAGACTTGCAATTTGATCTCTTTGTTCCTACAGAGTACCTTTCATTTAAAAGTATTCTACATAGACAATTATGAGTTGACCACAAGCAGATCTTAAATGTGTAGTGATGTAACACATTTCCTGGTATCAAGGAAGTGTATCAAGGTATCAAACAGTATTACTTGTTCATTATTTGAAAATACATCAGGAGTAAAGCCTGATGTCTAAATCGTTGTCCCAGCCGGTCTTTTTACCTCCTTTCATTTTGATTTGCTCAGCTGCTCTCTAGGTAAAGATGAGCACTCTGAATAATTTTTCTTGTGAGTTCCAGTAATTCCTTTCTGATATTTTTATAGTTGCCTTAAAAATTGTAATAAATATATGTAATGTTACAATTCGTGCTGGTTTATTCCCAGCTCTCTACCTTGAAGGTGTTTTGTTTATAAAGTGATAAAATACTGAATTCAAGTACTTGATAAAAAGAAATGTTTGAAATTATGATGATCCCATTCTCATATAAAAAAAAATGCTATTGACAAAACCTGAATTTATTTATATTACTTAGAAGCTAAACTAAGATGCGGTGAAACATGTCACAGAAGCCTGAAGTGGAAATACTGGAAGAGAGAGCCAGCCATCTCATCCGTTGCAGTGTTATTAAAAACTTGACCATAATGCCAGAATAAAATCTGGGCAAACAATTTTAGTAGTCATGATTATTATGAAATCTTACTTTATTTTAAAAGTCTTTTGATCCTACCTATTTGGTTTGGTTCTTATTCTGTTTAATATTTAGGGGGTTTTGTGTATGTGGAATTCTAGGGAACTGAGATGGATTGACTCACTTTTTCTGAAACATACTTGCAGCTCTGAAAAAACTGCTTGAGGAGGAACTGGTACTATTACTATGGTCAGAGAATGAAACAGTGTCAGCACCTTCTGGAGAATCTGAGTTCTCTGATTTTCAGTTTTCTTGTCTAAATTAGACCTTCATTAGCTTCTTGACAAGATGCTTTTACTTTGTCCGAATTCCACAGTGAGTATAGGAGTAAGAAAATTCACCACTGTGTAGTATTGGACACTGCTGAAAAAAAGTAGTCCTTAAGCTACTGAAAAGTAGCTAAAGTTCCTCAGTAGCATTCTCATCAGGAAAATTATTTTTCCTATTTAAACATTGTTAATTTCAAAGCAGCTCCGTTTTAGTAATTTGCAGCAAAACTCCTAATGCGTCTCAGCAAATCTTTTGATAATGTACAAAGCCTTGTATTTTGTGAACAATATTCTGATGTTTTTGAGAGGAAAAGCTTCCATGAATTTCTGTGGCACAGAAAGCAGATGAATGAGAAGACATGCCTTGTTTTGTCACAATCTTCTGATCTTTGATAAATGCCACATTCTGATGAAACTTTGTTTTCTTTCACCAGTCCTTTTCTTCCACTTAAAATTGAGATTTGCAGAAGAAGATACTTTTATCATTCATCTGAGAACCTTTCAAGGTGGAAAAGTATTTATGTAGTTGTCAGCAAACAGGTCTCATTATACCTGATCTGTTGAACCTGAGATTGTTGATAAATTCTGATAAACAGAAGTCTTGATTGAGGGCAAAGAACATAACAAAACTCTTCTCACAGTTAATGATCTTAGGTGCTATAAAGCTCTTAATAGTTCACATTTATTCTTGATATATATCTTATTTAAAATCTGTTCTTGCTTTAAATAAATGGGAAGGTGTTAAATGGAGGCTGATACTGAATATTATTTATTCTACGTGAGTGGCAGAGACTGTTGGGAAGTGTTCCTTTTCATAGCTAATTCTTGGTAATATTCACTCCTCCTGAATACATAGGCTTTAATTTTTTAGGGTTTAATTTTAAGGGTTTCAGGAAAGGAGGTGAAGCAAGGTCATATTGGGCAAAGTTGAAAAAGTGGTGAAAGGCAAATTACGCATAAGAAATATATGAGATAGTGGGCATGTTAGGATCGGAGGCCAAACTTTGAGTTCTTTAGATGCTTATACCCAGAGTTGTAGATTATCTTCATTGTAGTCTTCATAAAGTACAAGAACATTTTTGCCTTTGTCTTTTTTTGTACTGAGATCAGGAAATCTCATCGTGACTGTTGGTCTTCCACACCACTTAAGATATAGCGAAGTGAAAATGTTTGGACAACTGCTGGAGACAGAAATTTATTTCATGCTCTGTTGAATTTTGTTTTAACATGCTAGTACGTAGTGTAGAAGTTTAAAAAAGCAAATATACCCAGGTCTAAAAATTTCTTTTTAAAAGTTATGTGTTTTCTTGTTATGCCTTTGGTACTTTTGACACTTCATGTTTTTTAAATTGAAGTTTTAGTATGTTTTCACCATTACTCTTTTTTTAATAAAACATCAGCCAAAAGCATAATTATTCAACATGCTTTTTGTTGGGTTTTTGTTTGGTTTTTTAATTTTTTTTTTTATTTTAGAGCACTCTCACATTTTTAAACTCCTGGCAATTTGTAGGTCTTGTAGCCAGAACTTTATACTAAACAGATTCTGGTTCTGAAAGACAAGGAACATACCTGTAATGAAAATGAAGCTTTTTTTTTTTGTTGTTGATTATTTCTCAGGGTGTGGGTTGTGTCATGGAAAAAAGCGGGAAGAGTTTCTAGAAGAGATTAAGAGTCTGTTGTGTTCACATGGGTCTCATATAAAGTACGTGATGTAATTTAGATTGGCTTCAGATCCACATTTTGTCTTTATATCTTGTAGACAGATTTTCCCATTGTTCATTTTGTATACATTTTTGTCTCAGTTGCCGTACTTGCTTACAAATTCTGGCAAGGGATGGAGGAAGGTGGTTTGCTTTCAAGAGAAAGTTTTCTCTAGCAGTTTAACTACACTCTTTACATTTTCTTAACATCTGTTTTTTGTATGCTCCTTTTCTTATTTTGATACTTTCAGACTGTGAAGATGATTGCTTTTAGTGCCAGTATAGATTCGTGATTTTATACAGTAGCTCAGGGGTGGCTAGCCAAGTACCTTAACCAGCTAAACAAACATATTAAGATTTATAAAGGGAAATAAGGAATAAATATATTAAGATGTGCATATGGACTACAGTTGGAAGAAACTGTTTAAATATAATTTTTAAGGATACACTTGCAATGTAAAACAAAACAGAAGTATTTTGATCAGCAGTAAATGTTTCCAGTGACTGTGCCATACAGTATTGAATATGTGAAATGTTTCAGTATGTGGATCTTTAGGATGTGGTTGAGTAGGATCAGCCTGTGGATACATACTCTTTTCTTCCTAGGGATTTTTGAATCAAATTCTATCTATCCCTGCTAGATTTCTTGCATCCCAAATGTCTGTTGGGATGCAACTGATGGGAGAGAATGGAAAGAGCTCTTCTAGCACTTCTCTACTTGTTGCAGAACTGAAAGAAAAATGTCTAGGCTTTACAGTCATCAAGAAAACTTTCCAAATATAAGAGAACTGTGGTTTCTTTGAGTTATGCAGATGCACTAAGGCATTTTATTTCAAGTAATTCTCATCAGATGATATATCTGAACTCATCTGGTGACCAGTGTTATTTCACAGGACTTTAAGATGAATAGTTGTATGTCACCTAATTCACCATCCTTTAGCATCATTCTGTGTATTATCCAGTGCTTTGTTCAGATTTGTATATTCTAAATCTACCACACTTCTGCATTCTGTGGCTACCCCTCCCACTTATCATTGTGGAAAGGAAGGAATAATCACAATTCCATGGCATTCAGTGATGAACCTTAAATTCACTTAAACTCAGAAGCCCCTTCTCAGTGACAGGGTTTGTGCTGTTTCCCTGAGGATACACTTTTACAATCTCACAGACCTTTCACTCTGTGGAATTTTTTATAACGTTTCCCCCAGACTTCTCTTAAGTTAATTGCTTTGGCTTGGCTATCCTAGTACCTGAAAATTCCATATGAACTGCCAGAGAGGAAAAAAGGAGGTGGGGATGGTAGGCTCAGCAACACATTTACAAGAAGAGTAAGGTTCAAATTCCAGTTCTGTTTTCCTCTCCATACTAAGATGCCTGCTTTTCCTTATCAGGCTCCTAAAAAAACTTGATTCGCTCTGGCCAATGATAAGTCACAAGAATTATCCTGTTGGCAGGAATAGGTTATTGGATTAAATTTGTACATTTATGAATACTTTTTTCTTATGCATTTTTTCTGTCCTGCCAGACTTGCATCACACAGGATATATGTTTTTGAACTTACTGAGGTCCATGGTAAATTTGTAGGCCAAATCATCATGCATGATCTTTAAGAGTTTCCTTTTAACTTCTGCAATTGCAGGAAAATCACTCTTAAACCAGATTATGTTAAACTACAAGAAACTCAATCGAAGTTGTGAGTGTAAAAAGTCCAAATCTTAATTATTTTCCAGAATTTACAGGTGTCTGAATTATATCATGGCCATACACACCTGCTGGATTTCAAGTGCAACTATGAATTGGAAATGAAATTAACAATCTAACTTTTTTTTTTCCCATTACAGATTGACCAACTGAAACAAGAACTCTCAAAGAAAGAATCAGAACTTCTTGCCTTACAAACTAAGCTTGAAACCCTTAGCAATCAGAATTCAGATTGCAAGCAACACATTGAAGTGCTTAAAGAGTCGCTTACTGCCAAAGAACAGAGAGCTGCCATACTTCAGACAGAGGTATTGTATCTTCTAATCATAAAATGCAATAGAAATATTTAGTTAATAGCATGTGTCAAGGTGATGATGTGTTTGTTAGAAGTCTGTGTAGAAAGCAATTTGTTAAAGAACAGTGAAATAATGTAAACCCTTTTAAATGCCAATATATTTGGTATACATGTCTTGGGAGTGCACCAGCTCTCATTCTAGAATTTTTTTTACAAGCACTTATGTGATTGCATTTTAAGAAAATGTTTGTGCCTAATTCTCATTGGCTTCAGTGGGGGGAACTGGGCCTTATGACTTGATTGTTGTGATTTAATTCCTTCTTTCTTCATCTGTTGGTTGGCTGCGTTTTCCTTTTGGTTGCTATGGCTTGATGCTTCTTTTCTACTGTGTATTTCTATTCTGAAGAGTGAAGCTACTGATGTATTTTGAAGGGAACTGTTGAAGGGTGCATGGTATTAATCCGTGGTTATTGCTTCAAGTGCAATCAATGCTTATTTTAAAATATGAATAATTTTAGTCTTTAAAACAGGTCAGTGCATTAGATATGTATGTATCTACAAAGTCAAATTGTAAAAAATATGGTAATGGATGGTTGTCATGTTTGATGGAACATATAAATCCAGTGTTAAAAATGTTGTCCATTAGTTCATTTCCTGGGGTTTTGCAAAACTTCATAGACTCGGAGCACACAATACTGATTAGATTGATTCTTCATTTTATTTTTAATCTGTGCACCTCTTTCAAGAAACAGAAGTACCCGTGAAATTCAGTAGTACACTGCAAATAGTTTCTATTCAGAGAAATGCGTTATTTAAGGTATACAGAAATCTTAGAGAATGTTTCAAATTTCTGGCTAACAAAGCTCTAGGAGAAAAAACAGCTTAAACTCATCATTCTTATGGTAATATTTCTAAGATTCTGATTATCCCTCTGTGCTGTATGTCTTATCCTCTGTATATTAAGAAGATACAGATGAAATTTTGGAATTTCCAGCTTGTGTTTAATGGGCCAGCCAGCATATGTATATGATACAAAATAATCATAATAGAGCAAGGGTAAAAACAATTTTGGCAGATCTCAGTCTAGATTTTGAGTAGTAAAGGTTATGTAATTTAAATCTTTGGCTGTGCAAATCTGTTCTGCAAGGTTGGCATTACCTGTTGCGCTGCTGAGGACAGTGATTAATTCCATTGGCTCTTCACTAATTTTATTTCCTAATTCTTTATCAGACTGGCATGTGTTCAAGGCATGGCAGTCCTATGGCTGGCAGATGGGCAGTGATAGAAAGAACTGAATTTACAGTGCTCTTGATGAAGGGGTGCTGGGATTGTGCAGTCCTGGTGGAGAGCCAGTTGGTTTGACAGGTGTTCAGTTCCTCCTCTTCCCAGTTTCTACATAAGGCAGCTGGGCTTGAACCTTTTACATGAAGCAATTTGAGTTAAAATCAGCAGTAATTGCCTGTTGGTGTGCTGGTGACAATTGGTTGTATTGTGTCTGCTTATTGTTAGTCTCTCAGGGAAATCAAATGAAAAATTAATGCTAAAATGATCAGAGAGGTGGCCTGATAGAAGGAATGCTCTATAACAGCAGAGAATGAATCCCTTTTGTTTGGCCTAATATAATGTTATTTGTGATATAAGTGATTGTGATATTCATACAAACAATATGAGATTCTTCCAGCTTCCAGTGGAAAAAAAAAAAATCTGTTTAGGTATAAGATTAGTGAAAGATATGTTCAGTATATTTTCTATTCAGTGGAAGATACCAGTTTCCAGTTTTGATTATTTTTTTTAATTAACCCTTTTCCTCTGTATAATCCAAAGCGTTCTTTGACAATCCTTTGGTTTGTTTCTGAATGAAATAACACTGTAAGCTAGGTGGGTCATTGCAAGTATGAGACTTAAAAATGAAGCAAAACAACTCATAAATATCCTCACAGTGTATCTTGATTCTAGACAGTTAAGGCTGTGTCTGCGTGGACTTGCTAAATCGATTGAGCCTGAATTTGTTTGTGACTGAAACTTCAGAAATTGTAGTTTTGATTTCATACGCATTATTATTGTCAGCCTTCAGTAATTACATTGCCTCATAAATTGATGAAGCTCTGAAACACTGCAAACTATTTTATATTCCCCATAGAAATCTAGGTGATTTCTGTGGTGTAGGTAATGATTTTATCAGACAACAGTTTCTTGAGTTTCTTTTATCTTTTTAAGAGATCTTTGTAAAGGGAATCAGGGAAAGTTGGTGAATTATGTCCACCTCTTATGGAAAGTAATTTTAGTTAAAATTTGCTGTAATTGTTTATGTACAGGAGGCTTTTGGCAGAAGGGTCATATTAATGTAACTTTTTTTTTTTTTTTCCTGGGATATCATATGAAAATGAAGGCCAATTCCAGTCATACATGTGTATTGATGCAGCCACTATTGGAAATCGTTTACCAAATAATTTTGATTTAATAGCAGGTTTAAAATGGGAAATAACTTTACTTGCCTCCAAAATTTCTTCTATTTACTTCTGAAAAGAAAGCATTATAGACCGTGCTCTTATATGCACCATTTACGTATGAGGTAGAGTCTTTAAATAATCTGTGTTAAACTTTAAATTGTGTCAGCAATTTACCTGATCTCAAAATACTTTAATAACATGCATACTTTGGGCGATAATAATTACATCTCATTTTTTAATCTATTTAAGATGCACTGAATGTTTTATTACTTTCCTGTACTCCATGGTGGAGATTTAGCGCATTTCAAATCTGCTGAAAAAGATCTTTACTTCTATGTTATGTAGGTAGAAATAAAGCACACTTTGTAGCCACTAGTTTCTCAAGCCAGGAATTATCAGGAAATAACAGTACTTTTCTTTGTTATTTTAAAGCTCTAAGGTTGTTGTAGGCATGTCAGAGGCTGTACAGCTTTCCATGTAGAAGATTAGATACTCAGGGGTTAGAAATGAAGAGTGGTTTCTGGAGTTAAGTAATCCTGAGGCTTGCAAAAGATATGTGGTTAGTGTGAACATACTTTTCACCTCTTTTGAATAGACTTTGAATCAAGAGCTCCTTAAAACTACTGAGCTATCCAGGCTTGTTTCCTGGAATAGGGTCTTACAGCAGCTTTCAGCTAGCCATAAGAAATATGCTCATAGAACCAAACATGGGATTTGTCATAAATTGCTGTGTAACTATGTGAGAATGTTACATGCTTTCTCTAACAATCATGAAAACAAGTGACAGATCTCTGTGTCCGAGCAATTTCACAGATTAGAAAATAAGATTCTTCAAGGCTGACGTGCATGTTCTAATGATGTTCTATTGTTACACATTTTTAAGACCTTCAGGGTTTTGGCACATTCCTTGCCACCCTGCTGTATACTTGGGTTTTTTTTCTGATTAAAAATGATTGCCAGAATGTCTCTTCTCCACAAACTATTATGTTACAACTTCCAGACTGGGTATGCAGTTTATTAGAGACTGTTAAACTCTGGGTGTTCTGGATAAATGTGCTGGAGCATCAAGGAACACAAAAGCTGGACAGCGGCTGAATTTGTAGATTGCTATGTCTATTCCTTTGTAGGCCAAACTCCTTGTTTCTTATCACTATTTAGACAGAAATAGAAAGAACGCATCCTTAACATAAGTGACAGAAAGACACCTCAATAAAAATTACTAAGGCTGTAGACCACTCATTGGTTGCCATAAGTTTGAAGGGTTTTAGAGCTGATGTTGTTCCTAGTGTTAGTTATGAGACAGTTGAAAACAGGCTGTTTGTGGTGCTTGTGCTTTTTCTTATTCAGGATGGAGATGCCTCCTTTTTTCTCTTATTTGTTTTGCCTGCTTGTTTGCCCTTTGTATATTTTGACTGACCAGTGGGCCAATATGTGGCAATACAAGTGAAGTAATTTTTTTGTTTGTTGCGTTGTGTGCTTCATTGTACATCTTAATGAAGTTTGTGCCTTCAGGCTGCATTCTTCAATTACACCCTGTACAAACTAAATGTGATGCAGCAAGACAGGAAAGTTCAAAATTAGGCCTCAGAGGAAAATTTTCCTGAACTCCTTTTGTAGCTACACTTAGTTTTGTGAGAAGCCTTTTTGGTAATCACTTCACAAACATAAACTTCATATAACTCAACAATGTCTGTCTTCAGTACTCGGAAATATCCTGTCTTTCAAAAGGACCTTTTACATACATTTCCACTTAAACTTTAGTTTGGAGAACTCTGGGGGAGTAGAGGGAATGTTTATATATTTGCTGCAAATGTTACATTTGGTTATGTGTGAGAGACTAAATGTGGGCTAATTCCAAGTATCATCAGAGGCCATCAATGTTTTGTTTCTAGTATATATATTAATATAGCTATGTTAAATTAAATAACAAAAAAACAACAACTCAAAGTTCTTGTAATGAAGCTTATATATTTCCTGCAGGAAATACAATCCCTGCAACAAGAGAGCCATCATAGGATAGAGGGGCTTTCTGTGCACTAAACCCAGGATCCTTCTTACCAAAGACCTGAACATGAGAAAGTGTCATTCATGTGGTGATCAAGCATGTGGCCTGCCAGTGTAGATGAACAAGGAATAAAAATACTGCTTTGCCAGCTGGGCTCTCTCTGAGACCTGGGTTTTAAGCTGACTAAGATAAGGCCTAGACTGTGCTGTGGTAGCAATCCAGTAATGATTCTAGACTTAGCAGGTTTTGTTCTCTGCAACCAGAAATTGGGAAAAGATTTTGTTTGCTTAGAGCAACTGAATCTTCTATCTCCAGGCCTCAGGTCTTATTTAGAGGGAGGGCAATGGCTTCCAGCAGCACATGGGAAAACAGCTGCAGGAAGATGCAGGGTGAATGGCAGCCCTCCAGCAGGTGGAAATCATTATGGAAGGAATTTCGTACTGTACAAGCTATTGTTGGTTGTTCCCAGATGAGTAAAGTTAATAACATTTTGGCCTGCATTAAGCCACACTCCTTTCGTCCTGCATGTCCACATTGTCTATTTGTAGAATAGATAGC